GTGGCAAGAATAGAAGTGCAATACCTGGTTCAACTCACTTAGCCATTATGAGAAACAGGGATTGTGAGCATATCAAGAGATGTGACTAATAGTTTTAGAGTAAGTCTCTCAATGAACACCTGGTGCTGGTCAAAGCAATACACTTTGCCAGATAGTGAGATCATCCAGAGCCAAAAGGATTGTTTTATACCAAGCTCAGGGCACAGCCTGCTTGCTGGGTCTTAGCTCTGGAAAACAGAGTGTCTCCAAATATCTTGACACTTCCAACTCTCAAATTCTCTGATTGTTTAATGTCTTTCTGTTAGAAACAAGCCCTATGTTTGGCTATCCAGGGAGATAACCTATGGTAACCTATTTTCCTCCTCTCAACTAGATGATATCCTTGTCTACCATGTATAAGGCATTGTGCCTGGTTCTATGGGGAAATGTAAAGAAGTATGAGAAATACAGTCCCTGCCCACAAAACCTTAGGGCTAAACCTCTGCAGGACTAAAAGGATTATTAAGGAATAAAATCTATAATGAAATAAAATAAGAAGACCTACAATATAGGGCAATAAGTACTATTTTACTTTTGTTATTGTTTCAGAACATAGTAAGTACTTAATAAGTACTTGATTGATTGACTGATGAAGTATATAAAGAGTAGAAATCTAAGAGTTCAGAGATAGGGTCTACTGTAATTTGCAATGGTCAAATAAGGCTTTTCAGAGCAGAGAGTTTTTTAAGTTGACCCTTAAAGGATGAGTAAGGTCTTTTACTTCGTATAATTCCATTGTGATCATTTTGTTCACTACAATCACATCACATTATTTTAATAAGTTCTTAGGTGTGCAAAGGATTATATCAAAACTTCAGATGTGGTACTTCCTTTACTTAAAAAATAGGAAGAAAGGACTTGGGAAACATACTTTTGGCTTATGCAGAATGGATAATTAAATCTAGAATCCTTTTTTTATGGAGATTTCTTATGAATATGAAATTATATGCAAATATATGACAATGGAAATAGCATACATTAAAGCAGAATATGATCTTTAAGAGAAAATAGGATGGTAGGACAATTAATAGGCATATTTCTTCAGTAGTCTTTCATATTGCTTTGGATGGGGCTGAAATGCACAAGAGATACTTAGCTTTCAATGGGTCAAATATTTTTGTTGAGTTGGAATTTGAGACACAGTGGACAAATTAACAGATATAAACTCAAAATAAAAGGCCAAATTTTCTCTTCTCAATGTGATGATTATTTATTCTTCTAGATAACAAAGAACTGTTAATAGTTTCAATTGAAGATTGTGAATAATATTTATACCTCTCACTGGATCAGGTTAAAAACAATACAATGAAAAAAGTAACTATAAAAGTAATTAGATTTAAATGTATGTCTATAAGTCATGCTTTAAAAAACTCATCAAAGGTTTAATTAAGAAGTTGTAGAAGTGGCCTTTACTTCTAACAAATACACTACTATTTGGGCTCAATGAAATATGAATGCCTAATCATAGTCATACCTATTTCTATACAAATTGGAGAGAAAATTCATGAGAACAAAATCATAATTTTTTTTTGCTCATTGCCAGCTTTCTTTTTTTTAAATTTTTTGAAAATTTTATTTTTAATTTATGGAATAAAACAAGCATTTCCATAACACAGTTTTTTTAAAAAGATGATTACACATGAAACTGCAACTCTATTATGTACAACTTTCTATTCTAAAATATATAATAAAATTATTATGTAAATATCTTTTTTCTTCCCTCCCCCTAGAGATGACTATCATTAGTATGTATGTAAAATATGTATGTATGTAAATATATATATGTATGTATGTATGTAAAATAATTCTATACATACTTCTCTTTATCAGTTCTTTATCTGAATGCAGATAGTGTCTTCCTTCATATGTCCTTTGTAGTTAATTTGGGTGTAACATGATTTTATTTACCTGATATATCAATGGTTGTATTGTGAGGTGAGGAGTTGATATACTTGATTGGCTTTAAATCTGATAGTATATCTTTTATTTTCTCAAGTTATTCTGCCCTCTCCATTGGCCATACCAATTTTTAAATTTACGTAGTAATTTGCTCATATTTCTAACTTTCCTATCTTCTTTCTTCTGCAGATAGAGATGGATAAAATGGTGGGCCTTAGGGTCAGAAAATCTGATTTCAAATTTGGCTTCAGACTCTTACTACCAGTGTAACCCTGGGCAAGTCCTTTAACCTATTTGCCTCTGTCTCCTTAACTATAAAATGGGGATGATAATAATAGCATTTACCTTCTAGGATTATTGGGAGGGTCAAAAGAGATAATTGTAAGTTGGTTAGTATAGTGTTTGGCAGCAGGTGCTTAATAAAATCCTTATAGGGCAGCTAGGTGGGACAGTGAATAGAGTGCTAGGTCTGAAGTTAGGAAGACTCATCTTTCTGAGTTCAAATCTGACCTAAGACACTTAGAGCTGTGTGACTGTGGGCTAGTCACTTAACCCTATTTGCCTCAGTTTCCTAGTTTCATCATCTGCCAAATGATCTGAAGAAGGGAATGACAAGGTACTCCAGTATCTTTGCCAAGAAAACCCTAAATGGGGTCACAAAGAGTTGGACCCAAGTGAAACAACTGAACAACAATAAATCCTTCCTTTCCCACCCAGATCTCTCTCTTATCTGTCTCTTTCTTACATACACATTAGATTTTAAACTTTTTGTGGGAAACGGGTTTTTTTTTATCTTTACACCCTGAGGACCTAACACTAATACTCAATCAATAAACATTTATTAAATGCCTACTACTTGGCAAACACCATGCCAAGCACCTGACATACAAATAAAGACCTTAACTTAAAAAGGCCAAGGTCTCCCACTGCATGTGGGGTCATCTCCAATTGCCCTAACCTGTCTTGCCACTGGACCCAGATGACCCTGGAGGACAGAGTGAGGCTGATGGCTTTGCACAGCCCAGCCTCACATAAATCTAATTCACTTGCAAGTCAAGACATCACCTTCCTGATGTCATTGGTCCTCTTGTAGAACAAAGGACAAACAATAATCTGTGAGTAGTAGTAGCTACCCCACTGGCCAGTTCCAGTTGGAACTTCCTTCCTTCCTTCCTTCCATCCTTCCTTCCTTCCTCCCTTCCTTCTTCCTTCCCTCCCTCCATCCCTCCTTTCCCTCTGTCTACATGGGGAATCATATCCTTACATGTGGTTGCTCTGCCTAAAGTAATATAAATTTTGATCACTGAAACCTCACAAAATATCTTGAGGCTTGGGGGATATATTTTTTTCCTCTTCACTACTTATTTATTCTATCATTTAAAAAAACTGGGACAATTAACTCTTTTTTCCCCCATTTAGTTTCATTAATGATTTCTTGAAATAGAGCTCTGGAAAACCAGGCTTTGATAAACCCCTCCTGATGCCATTGGTCTTCTTACAGAACAAAGAACAAACAACACCACCAAAAAGAATTACACTCTGCCCTCAAATAGTTTGCAATTTAATGGAGAAAAACAATACACAAAAGGAAGCTGAAGAGGGGCAAGAGAAGGCGAAGGAACTGTACCAGGTGCTGGGGCATGATGGAAAAGTTCAAAAGATTTCAGCTTGGTGGGAAATTAAGAGATGGCTGGCCTGAGCATCCTATTTAAATGGAGGTTGGGGAAGGAGCTTTCCACTCCATACTCCAAAGAGAGAGGTCTTGAAGTGTGAGTACCAAGGTTGATGTGATCTTGCATGATGATAAGGTTCCTAGTGGTATGATGAAGAAATCCAGAGGAGGACAGGGAGTACTAAAAATGTCATATATAGTGGATTCTAAATGTTTGATGGAAAAAAATTGAATATAATATACGTTAGGAAGTCATTTTTGTCACTGGTTGGCTTCAGTCTACTTGATGCCCACTTTGGGTGATAGTTTACATGGAATTAATGCTTTGAGTAGGGGAAGTGTAGAAGACCTCTATCTTCCCTTCTAACCTGCAATTCTATACTTCTGCTATCCAATTAAGCACACTTGTCTTTTCTTGGACATTTACAGTCAGCCGGCATTTTTTAAATGCCTGTATGTGCCAGGCACTATGCTAGCTCCTGAGGATATAAAGATAAAAATGAAACAGTCCCTGCCCTCAAAAAGTTTATTTATTTTTTTTTTAGTGGTAGGTGGTAAGGGGAGTAAGAGAAATAGATCCAGTGTCTTTGACTCTATTTTTACCAAGGGATAAATATATAGATATCTATATAACCTGTGTAACAGATACTTTATTATCATTTTGACATTTTCCTTTTTGTCATTTTAATAATAGAGAAGTTAAATAATAATAATAATAATAATAAATAGACTGAGGTTAAACAGAATGTTCTCTTCTTTGAGGAGATGAAATTGCTACAAATCCTTTACCATAATGTTAGTAATAACTGACATTAATTAGCACTGTTGAGATCTACAAAGTGTCTTACATTCATTATCTCATATGATTCTCAGGTAGGTACTGTTATTATCCCCACTTGACAAACAAGGAGACTGAGGCTCAGAGGGATTAAATGACTTGCCCAGGGTCACAGCAAGTACTTGAGGCAGGACTCAAGCTCAGGCCTCATTGACTTTATGGTCAGCTATTGTAGATGGCAGTCCAAGGTAGCTAATACCAAAATCTAATAGGTTTAGGATAAAAAGAAGATAATATGCTTGTCAAAACTAACATTTCAAAATTTCTTCTTCAAAAGAAGCTTTAGGCTTCTTTGTGCTTAAAATTATATTATCTAAGACCTCTTCTCACCAAATACTATACATAGCAAATGCCCTCAATGTTCGTATATTGTTTAAAAATATAATTATAAATAGTTTTCTATGATGAAGTAACTAGGGGAGGACAGCAAAAAGGTATTTTCTTTTTTCTTTGCTCATATGATTGTGTTTGTACTATAGTGGCCAAAATATCAAATGGAAAATTTTCCTACGCCCTTATTTTTCAAATGAGCAGTTTTCATTTCTCTTTCAGTTGATCTGTCTTTAGTAAATAAAGATGAAAAATCCATCTACTTATTGGGAAATTCTCTTGGCCTTCAACCAAGAAAGGTTAAAACATATCTGGAAGAAGAAATGGAAAAATGGGCCAAAATGTGAGTAATTTTTAAAAAGCTACAGTTCAAAGTTTCATAAAAGATCTTGAAGCTAAGAATAGAAATGTTTATGTGATCCTACTATATGATTATATTTAAAGAATCAAAGAATTTTATATCTAGAAGGGTCCTTGAAGTATTTAATCCATTCCTTTAATTTTAGTGACAATGTGAGTTGCAAGAGTTCAGCAGAAGAAAACTAAAAGTATAATTTAGTCTAAGTTTCTGAAGTTAAGTAAGAATTTCGAGGCAGTCTTTATAAATAAATGTCTGTTCTGCTTTGTTTTTAATCACCAGTGATGGCGATACCACAATATCCCTTAGGAATCCATTATACACTTAGAATACCATACACTTATAATTAGAATACTATACTTATATTTAGAATACTATAATACACCAATATATAGTTCTCATTTTTTAGAGTTACAGAGTTGAGGAAAGGCAAACCTGCCCTTAATTATACTTATGAGAATTTACATGTAGCTTTCAGCAAGACAAATTTCCTTTTCTTGATTCCTCTCTGCTTTTTCTCCTGCTGTTTGACCTAATTTTTCCCTTTACTTATATGCATCCTTTAAGAACAAGCTTAAGTATGAACTCTTTCAGGAAGCCTAATTCAGCTACTCCATGTCAAACTGATTTCTCCCTTTTTTAGTTACAGGATCACAAGATCATAGCTCTAGAGCACAGGTTCCCTAACTTATTTGGCCTACTGCCCACTTTTAAAAAAAATTACTCAACACCCCCCTGGAAATCTGCTTTCTTTAACCCTTTAATTTTTTTTTGAAATTTGTGTCATTTCAAAAAAATATATAAAATATATATATATTTTTTTAAAATGACACATCTTAAATTTAATAATTTATTGTAAATGTGTTTTTCCCTGCATTGAAATTTTGATTATACTGTATTGCATCATATAACCGTATAGTATCCTATTGTAAACAAGTCATTAAAGCACACATTCCTGCCCATAAATGCTGGACTTCCTGACAATACTCAACATGCTTGTCTGCCAACACTTGCTTGTTAAGATCTTTTGGTGGACCTGACCACTGATTGGTTATAACTTGCATTTTGTGTGTTTATTTGAAAAAATAATTTAATCACTATAACTTTAACTCTGTTATACAACAGATGAAACATGTATGAATGGTTTTTCAAAATTTTCTCTTCTCTTCTTGTGCTTCCACTGCCCCCTTATTTTTATTCCATGCCCACCAGTTACACCAAGGCTACCCAACTCTGGATCATTCCGGTGCATCATAGGGGCAGTGTCACCCACTTTGGAAACCTCTGCTAGAGCTGGAAAGGACTTTAGATGTCTTTGAGCCCAGAAGTTTCAAAAAAAAAAATGGGGCCCATAAAACTCCAGAGTTTAGCGCTACCAGATTAAAATGCAAATTAGGAAATGTTTAACAAAATAAATAAAAATACAAAAACAAAGTAGATATTGTTAATTTGTGGTTTTCTAGGTCACTCAGTCAATAGCAGCCAGAGAGTTCTGTTCCATTTTGAATTTGACATCATGATCTAACCTAACCCTCTCATTCTACAGAGGAAGAAGTTGAGGCCTAGAGACATAGAAATAATTTGTTCAGGGCCATCCAGTTAACAGGAAAGCTGATAGCGTCTGAACTTAGGTGCTTGGGACTCCAAGATGACAGCCTTCATCTCAAACAATTTAGTTAACAAAAGAGGAAAAGAGAGGAAGACAAAAGTCACAAGTATGAAACTTCTGGAGCTTTGACTCTTTTCAGAGTTGATCTTTTTGCTAAACCAGATGCTCTGAATGTTTCCTAATTCATTCTTCCTTCCCTTTGCTCTCTATATTATTCCCTATACCACTCTATCTTCCATACTGGAAAGTCCTTTTTTGTTGACAATCCAAAATTTAAAGCTGACAGCCTAAAGCTTGAGCTGACTATAGTAATAAGAAGAGAGAGCAACAGATCTAATTATTCCCAGTTCGGCTGTAATATAACTAAGCTGAGCTTTTGTGGTTCACACCTAAGCACTTAATGCAGTGAGGGGAGAGGTTTGACTAATTTGTGAAGCCCAAGATAGTTTTGTCACTTGTAAGACTGTGATGCCTTTTTCACAGTATAAATGTATCACTACATTGAAAAGCATTCTCAAGCAGCTTACTTTATTATTTAAAGTGTGAGAGTTGGAGTTAATAAAAATGGTTAATACTCTTTTCTGACCAGGTTTGTTTGAAGGAGCAGGGAATTAGGCTGAATGAATTTGAACTTTAGAAAGTACCCTTGCCTCTTGGTTATTCATTCAGCCCAGCATTGCATTTTTCCTCCAGTCATTAAAAAAAAATGCAACCCTATCCATTTCCTTATGATTATCCTACTTTATCAAGTAAATGGTTAACTTCTTTTAGGAGGTTAAAGTTAGATCACATAGCATGCTGTTTCAGTGATGTAGAGGGAAAACATCTATCAGTCAAAGGACTTTCTCTTATAGAGGGTCACCTTCTGCTTTTACTTTTCTCTTTGTGACACTAGAGAATTTCTTCTCCCTCTTCTCTCTTTAACTCACTTAGGAAAAATTAATTAGAAAGGGAAATAGATGTACTTTAATGCTTTCTAATGCTTCAGCTATCTAAGGAGTACTTTTTTATAAGAAAAATAGTAGGCAAAGATAATTGCAAACTCTTTTCATTGTTAAATAATGCCTAAGAAAACAGATATTGAAGCCTTGATTATAGTCATCCATGGTCTGTAAAACAGAATACACCATAGTTAAATGGTCCATCAAATTCACTATTGTAATTTCTTTACAGTTGCCTAGGATCATTGTAGGCATATGGAGCATCAGGAACATTCACAGAACAAACTACTTTTTTTTTTAGTGATGCTACAACCAATTGTCATCTAAAATGGCTTATATACACATGTGCAAAATGAGATAAAGACTTGATGCAACTGTATAAATTTTGCACCCCAAAAAATAAAACTGTTATCAAAAAATACCAAGACGGCCATGACAAAGGTTTGATAGGAGGACTTCCTGAGAAACAAGGATAAAATGTGGTATTATTGTTGTTGTTTCTAAGTTTCAATTTCAACATTTTATGGCTTGTACAATTTATTAGTGGCATTTTAATTTTTAAAATTTATGTTGTAAAATAAATAGTGGGTCTCAATATTTGGAAATGGAAAACTTTTACAGTCTTATGATTCTCTTCCCGTGTGATAACTGAGTATTGGGAAAATGGTATTTCTGACACTAATTTTTTTTTTTGCAATGAGGCTTTGCTGGAAGTGGTAAACAATGTACCTACAGAGATTTTGGGGAGGTAATGTATGGGTATAGATTTAGGTAGGAAAGAGGTAGGAGAAAGGTACTTACAGACCACAGCAAAAAATAGTTCTATACTTGATGAGTTGGGACCTCAGTAGCTAGATAAATACCATATAAAGAACCTCTCTACACTGCAGCAATAGAATACAAGATTTCTAAATCAGTTGTGTCCAGGAATATCAAGTCTATCAATCTAATCTATCTACTTATTCATTCATTCAATGGATATTAAGAACCTCCTATGAGAAATTTACTGGTTAATAATTATATACAATTATCACTGATTGTATTTAAAGGAGAACCTAGCAAGTTAAAAGAATAATATTGTAAGGACTTAAAAATAGAAAAATAATTACAGAATGTATGGACATTTTAAATTGAGTGGACATGAAGCAAGGTGCGTGTTAGTTCATGACACAATGAGAATTTCTATTTCTTATGTGATTGTCAGTGTTACGTCTAACATTAGTGTTTCTATCATGTAAAAAACCCATGGATTTGAAAAAAAGTATAAGAATTCTTATTGATTATAAGGACATTTTCTCCAACAGTTTTGTTTGCTAATTGGAAATGGATTATTAAGAGAAGTTGTAAAATATTGTAAGATATTTCAAAATAGGATAGATTTTCACCTTTCTAGGATAGTTTTAGTATGATCCAAGCTGTGAGAGAAGAGACTAAATAGATTTGAGAAATGATCCAGGTTCTTTAAGGACCCATAATTCTGTTTGCTTTCTAATTTGATTTCATAGCCATACCTTTGACTGAAACAAACACTGCCCCTCAGACTGCTCTGAAAACACAGAGTTGAAGTGATTTAATTTCCCTGGTATGTGCTGTTGTAATGAGTTAGCTGTCTTTCATGCCATCTTTTCCTTCAGAGTATTTGTAAAGAGAGGGTTCTTATGCTGAAACTATTCAGATATTTTTTGAATGATAGTAATGCACTCTTTCTCAAGTCTAATGCATATGCATTAGAACTGCAGTTTTAATCTACATCAACTTTTTCTAATGATGGACCATGTCATGTAGTGGTTTATTTGTGTAACTCTAAATTCATTTTACTACTGCAGGCTACCAGGCTGATGAAATGAAGCAGTAGACGTTGTGTATGATATGGGAGGTACGAGGCATAGAATGCCAAGAGCACTGAATTCAGAAATGTATCCTTAAAGATTATTACTACCAATATCTACCAGAGTTAGGAGTAAGGTAGCATAATATTCAGTGATATAAATTCTTTGAGGCAGAGCATAGAATTTTACTACCTAAATGTAATAAGATATATTGTGCTATCAGCAAAGGCTATAGAGTTCTGTGTGATTAAAATAAAAAAGATCCAAGTATCTGCCTTTAACTACCATTTAACGATAATGATTTTTGTCTTTAGCATTTATATTGGAAGTGGAGGAATAGGCAAACTGCAGGCAATCTAATAATAATATGAATAATAATAACTAACCACCCTTCTCTTCCTTCTTAGTTCTAAGCGTTTTTTCCTTCAAACGTTAATTTTTATCTTATTTAAATTACTTTTTATATTAATTTGTATTTTTATGTACTTTGACACATTGATGTATGATTTGGTTGTTACTTTTAAAAGGTATTACATACCACATATTGATGAAGGGAGATTTGAGCATTCAATTCATTCTGAGAAAGTAGTGAAGTTTAAAAATGGA